TACATTCTTCTCAATTTGTCATTTTCAATTTTGGAGGGTGAGTTGATACGGTGCGGCCGTCACCATTATGACTTGTGTATTTCTTTTTCTATTTCTTTATTTGGGAAGATAACTTATATGAATTTATGGCACTCTCCGAATTTTTGTGGATTTGCGTAAATTTTCACGTGCGTTGCAAATTTCTTATAAAATTCAACGGACCATAAACATCAAACTTCTTAAAACAATCACAAAAAAATCATATTTTTTGTGCTATACAAGATGATATATATTCTGATATTTTTTGAAGCAATATTTTTAACTTAATCTGACCAACTATCATATAATGATATTACCGAGACAATGATATCACAGTCGGGGAATTCTACTGTGCTGCTACGGCACTAGTTCCGCCTTATTTACCGAGTATAGCATGTTTTTTTTTCTTTTATTGCAAGTTTTAGTTTTACGGGAAAGTCATTTTATCATCTTCTTTTTATGGTTAAACTTATCATCTGCTTTTTAGTTTTTTTCCTTCTTCTTGAAAGCCTCTTTATAATATTTTTATTTGGCTAGTTTGTCGAATGTCCGGTAAACAATTAGCTATTAGTCTTTTGGTATATTTTCTTTCTTATCTTCTAATTGATGAATTATTAATATAAAACTAATTAGTAGTGTAGGTATATGAACGTTGTCAACAAGGTTTAGCACGTTGGCCAGGTCGAGCAAGTGAGTTAAGAATTAATGGTCCGATCATTTTAGTCTGGTTTACCCGGATATATGAAAAAATTATTATATTTTTCATGCATTTATAAATTGTATTAAATTTCATATATGAGTAGTAACATATAACATTACACAAAAAAAACATGTTGTACTTGAATGCAATATATAGTGAAAATTCACACACTTATATAACCTTGATGTATATAGTTTAACCTGCATTATCTACAAAATATGATATTATTTAGAAAATTTAGAAGTATTTTTTATGGTAATTTAGAAGTATTTTAAAATAGGCTAATGAAAATTTTGGCACTCTAATATAAAGTTTTCTATGAAATTTGTATTCATAATTTGGTATACATAGCATGTTTGGTATCGTCAACTATTTTACTTTATGCTTATTGTTAGAGAATTTTAATTTCATCAATGATCATTGGTTTTATGTTTTTATTTCACCCCTTGTGACTGTTCGTCCAATTTTGATATCTCTGTCCTATGTGACACGTAACTCTAACATTTGACCATTAAATAGTGACTTATCTGCTAATAATAAAAAAATAAGATTAGTTATATTTAATTTTGTCACTCATTGGTTCAAATTTTATTAACATCAATGATATTTAACCAATTATAAATATGACATGACACTCAATGTGCAATACAAAGGAATGATACTAATGGAGTGGACACGTACAAAGATAAAAAAAAATTGTAAATAATATCACAATTTATATATAGGTGTGATAAAGAAGAAAAGTATACCACAAGACTAAGAGCATCTCCATCGCCCATTTTTTCCCAATTGCATTATGACATGGTCAGTGGTTTTGCAATTGCAACTCCAATTTTACTGATGTGGAAAGTTTTGCAATTATGCAAGCTTTCATAATATGAAAGTCTAATTGCAATGCCACGTAGATTAGTAGTGGCGTTTGTTCTTTTTTTAATGCTATTTAAATACCCAAATATAGGTGTGATAAAGAGCAATTTATTTTTATATGTAATTGCAAATTAATTGCACAAATGTAGGTACAATGAAAGTCAAGTGAGTTGGCTTGCAAAAACGCTGTTGTGTAAAAAAAATCACAAATGCAATTGCAAATACAATTACACCAGGGAGATGCTCTAATAGCTAGGGATGGGAACCCTGGCCGCCCCGCCGGGTACCCGCCCGAAACCCGACTCAACGGGGGTCTCAATACCCGGCCGCAGTGGGGAATTGTCGGATTCGGGCATACCCGAAACCCGTCAGAAGCGGGTTACGGATGGGGATGGATCGAGAAGTATCCGCCCCGTCCCCGTCCGTCCACAAAACGACGCCGTTTTGGCACCTGGGTATAAAGGCCGAAGAAAGACCCAGAAACCCTAATCCCTCATTTCCTCTTCTTTCTGCCTATTGACTGCCGCTGTTTCCTTTCATCTTCCTCTCTATTTTCTCTCCACCCAAGCACGCGAGCATTGATTTAGCTCCAAAATTTCGCCGATTCCCCACAAAATCCTCTCCATCCACTGGTTTATCGCTAGTAGGCAATCATTAATCCTCCAATTTGGCCAATCGGAGGCTTGTTTTGCCGCCGATTTGGCCGGAAAACAACATGCAAACCCCTAAAATGCTTGTTGCAATCTTCGATTCGCAATTATTGGGAGAAATCGGCGTGATATCATCAAGGATGACAGATAAGTTTCTTCTCATTTTTCCTTTCGTTTTCCTATCTATTCCATCTTCTTCTGCTTTCATATATATAGTAACCCTGTCGATTGATTTCAGGGTCACTCGCAACCTCAGTTCTAAGTTCTTCCGTTCATCATTACCTTCACTCTGCTCAGAGCACAGTCGAGGTAATCACTTTTAAAACTTCAATTTTCCTAGTTTATTAACTTGGTCTTTATCATTCAATGAATGCTAACACTAAATTGTTTTTATTTTTGCCTTGTTCGAGTTCATTAGGTTCGCATCAGGGCATCAGGCATCAACTCCCCATCTGCAGTCTGGTCAACAAATCCTACCTCTCCAGATTACAGGTTAGGCATAGCCTGACTCTAAATCCGCCATGTTTTATGATTTGTATGTGTAGCTTGCATGTGTCGATTGCTTGCTTGTGTGCTTAGTCTGAGTCATGAAGATTGATTGATTGTATTTTTCATTTATGTAGATGGATGGTGCAATTGCAAATGATGCTTTGAATGTGAATGATCCTCGTGTGCCTAATTCTCTAAATCCTGGTGTTAATGGTAATGTTAACGGTAATGGTAATGGTACTGTTAATGGTAATGGTAATGGTACTGTTAATTTGGTTGATGGGATTGAAACTGGTGAAGTCATTCTTGAGGAAGATAAGAAGTTGACTTCTGATGTTTGGCCTCATTTTGTTAGAGTGAAGTTTAATGGTGTTGTTAAGGCTAAGTGTCGTTACTGTAAAAAAACGACTTGGTGGTGATACTAGTAATGGAACCTCCCATCTGAGGCACCATTACAAAACTTGTACCCAAAGAAAGATACATGATGGTAGACAGAGAGTTCTGGGTCCTGATTATAAACCAACTGGAAAACCACTGCTATCTGCTTCTCAGTTCAGTTCTGATGTGTCTAGGAAGGAATTGTGCTCAATGATTATGGTCCATGAATATCCTCTAAGTATTGTTGAACACTTGGGGTTCAGACGTTTTTGTTGTTCTTTGCAACCACAGTTCACTGTGCCTTGTAGGGGTACAGTGAAGAATGACATAATGGGATTATATGGGGTTGAAATGGCAAAGTTGAAGAAGGTTCTTGATGGTAATATTGGGAGAGTTGCAGTGACCACTGATATGTGGACTGCACCCAACCAAAAGAGGGGTTATATGGCAGTAACTTGCATTTTATTGACAATTCTTGGAAGCTAAGAAACTTGATGTTACGTTTTGTTTATGTCCCTGCTCCTCACACTAGTGAGAGGCTGGGAAACAGGTTGTTCAAGTGTCTTATTGATTGGAATATTGATAGCAAGTTGTCATCTATTACCTTGGATAACTGTACTACCAACGATGCTATGATAACCCATCTGAAAACCAAACTTGTTATGGATGATTTGTTGTTGGATGGTATGCTGGTTCACATGAGATGTTCTGCTCATGTACTTAATCTTATTGTGCAAGATGGTTTGGATGTCATCAGGGATGGCATTGATTTGGTTAGGGAGAGTGTTGTGTACTGGAACTCTACACCTAAGAGGGTTCAGACCTTCTTTGAAACTGCTAAACAGATTAAGGTGACTTGTACAAAGAAACTTGTGCTTGATTGTCCTACAAGGTGGAATTCCACCTATGATATGCTGTCTGTTGCTATTATATACAGGGATGCGTTCTCTCGATCGAGACAGAGGGATAGTCAATACAATACTGTCCCTACTAGTATGCATTGGCAGTTTGATGCCATTATCATTGAGAAGCTTGAAATCTTCAGTGAGATTACTCAGCTATTTTCTGGTAGCAAGTATCCCACTGCCAATCTATTTTTCCCCAAGATCTGTGATTTAAGATTGAAATTGCTGGATTGGTGTGCTGATTCCAATACTCTTGTCTCTAGTATGGCTGAAAGCATGTGGGATAAATTTGCCAAGTACTGGGATGAAGTACATGTGGTTCTGGCAGTTTCAGTGGTTCTTGATCCTAGATACAAGATGCATTTAGTTGAGTATTATTCTGGCAAGTTTGGCAGCACTAATACTGCATTGGTGGATGATAAGATAAGGGAATGTATTTGTCGTTTGGTTCTTGACTACCAAACCAAGGCTGAGAAGAAGAATTCTGGTTCTTCATGTGCTTCTGGTGGTTCTTCTAGTTCTGTAAGTGATGATCTTGATTTCGAGCTCTTTGTGAGTCAGAGGAAAAAGAGCAAAACTACTCTGATTCATACTGAGCTCGATCACTATCTTCTTGAGGATCTTATTCCCAAACGATCTAAGGACTTTGATATATTGATGTGGTGGAAACTTAATGGCCTTAAGTACCCCACTTTGCAAGCAATTGCAAGGGATTTCCTGGCCATTCCAGTCACATCAGTGGCTTCTGAATCTGCTTTCAGCTCTGGTGGGAGGTTATTAGACCCTCATCGAAGTAGGCTTCACTACAATACAGTGGAGGCAATGATGTGTACTCGTAATTGGATCATTAATTCAATGCAACAAGGTAATATGCAACAACTGAACTTTCTGGTTTATTAGAGTATTCATTGTTCTAACTATTTTCCTTTGTTTCATTTTTTGCAGAGTCAAAGGCTGATGTTGAGGCAATGGAAGGATTGTTTTCAGCTCTAGCACTTGCAGATACAAGTGCTGAAGATCAAACAGAGGGTAAGTTACTTGGTTCTTCAATTCGTTTCCTTGTTAATCTCAGTTCAATTCTCTTAACACCTTTGTTTCCTTACTTGCAGAACAAGAGGAACTTGGCAATATGAACCGTGGTCCACTATCCCTAGATGATTGATAGTTTGACTGTTTGAGAAAAACCAGTGCAAAGGTAAAGTACTAGTGATCAGTAGCACAAACTTATGATTGATGAGTTTTATTGATAGTTTCAATTCTCTAACACTCTTGTTTTCTTTCTTACAGAACAAATGGAACTTGTGACAAAGGAGGAATGTTGTTCAAATCAGTTGAGGTCGAGGAAAGTTGGTCTCCAGCGTGGATGCCTTTGTTTTTCATTTTATCATTTCTGAACGATTAGGCTGAATGCCTTTGTTTTTCATTTTATGTTCTTTTTAAGTTTAAACACTAGTACTAGCATGATGAACATGATTGATGGGTTTTGGGTGGTGGGATTAAGGTTGCAGCAGTTTGTTTGTTTGCTGCAGCCTGTTTGTTTGTTTGAATTTTAGGATCTGGGTGCTGGGTGGTGGGATATGGGTTACAGCCCCAGATCTTTCTTTGTTTTGTTTTCTATTTCGGTGGCTTGACCATCAAGTTACTTTTTTAATGCAAATGTATTATTCAGGAAGTGTTTGGTTTTTGTTTAGACCATGATCCGTGGGGATCCGTTGGTTACCCGAATCCGTCGGCGGATGGGGACGGTAGCCAATCTCCCCTGTTTAGTCGCCGGGGACAAGGATGGGGAAATCCGTCGAGGTGTATGGGCGGGGATCAGGAGGCATGTACCCGCCCCGATCCACCCCGTTGCCATCCCTACTAATAGCCAATTATTTACCGGACTTGTGGATAAATTAAACTATTCATGATAAAAGACTTTGGAAAAATAATTATGATGAGAACCACGTTTTTTTATCACATTAGCTGTATCAATGGTTTCAACAAAATAATCAGATTATTACCGGTCAAAAAGTTATGGTGAGAACTAAAAAAAAATTTATAAAAAACAATTTTTCCCCATTGAACCTAAACCGTTATGGTGAGAACTAAAAAACATTTTAAAAAAAAAATTATAAAAACATTTTTTCCATTGAACCAAAACCTGTTATACCCTACCGGGGTGTAAGTATGACCCTAAAAACTCACTGACCCTATAAGGGTCAGGACGGGTCCGAACAACTTAGGGACGGGTCACTGTTTGATCCTGCGACCCTTAGCAACAACAAATATCCCATACCACATTGGACCTCTTTATAAAAGTTTTCAAAGTTTAGGTACTAAATTGATAAAAAAAAATTGGGTACCAAAATGTAATTTTACCACCAAACTTTAAGGACTTATTTGTAAAAAAATAAAATTTAGGTATTAAATTGTAGGAAAAGATAATTTTGGGTACCAAAATATAATTTGTAAAAAAAGTAGTGTGCAAATTAGGGTCGACCCACTAACCCGGCCCGTCCCGACCCGTCCCATCCCTTAAGGATCAGGCAGGGTCAAGAAGGAGACAGGGACGGGACGGGACAGTTATACATCTTGACCCTTCAAGGACGGGTAAGACAATGTCAGGGACGGGTCAGGGCAATTTTCAGCCAAACATTACCCGGTCAATATTTGGCGGAACTAGTGCAGTAGAGGCACAATAGAATGCCTTAGGTCACACAATTCCCGTGAAAGGAGTTGGCGATTTTGAATGGGTTCGCGAAAAAATAGCAATTTATTATCTGTTGGAGCACGATTTTATCTGTGAAATTCGCGATTCTATTTCACATGGACATAAATGAAGAGTAACTGTCGACGATGATGACTGTCAATTTGGGGAAGGAGATGGAATTGCCGGTCGGGTTGATGGGTGTAAAAATCGATAGTGCGAGTAAGAAAATAGAACGAGACATCCGATTTATGTGGTTTCCTCGTTCGATGTGAATGAGACTATTCCACGGAGAGCTTGAGGCTCTCGAGCTGAAATATTATTATCACTCGTTCTGTTAACTTCCCAGAAACTACGGCCGCCTACATATTGTTGAGGTCGGTTTCTTACTTATGAACGATAGATATCTCCCGTGCTTTTTGTCGATGTGGAATTCTGGCTATGATATTATTGTTTATATAAGATACCAATTCTCTCACGGTTTTTTAACGATTCAATACCGGTTAAACCATTAAAGTGTGAGTCGTTCAGAATATCGGGTCATACTTCGGCTAAGTTCTGACAACATTATTTTGTATGACTTTTTTTGTTGCTTGTTGATGGTTTTATCTTCTACTCGATTAATAAGTAAGAGAAAATAAAATTCAATTAGCTGCAAGCAACTACTACGTGCAAACACGGTTTCAGAAAATAAAGATGGGTTAATAGCTTAGTTTGGCCCGAACTATACACATACTTTCTACTTTGGCCCGTGGTATTGGAAATTGCTATTCTGGCCTGAACTATGTAGCAAACTTCCTCATTTGGCCTGGAGGCGGGTTTGAACGTTAAATTAGACGGTCAAACTTGTTGACCGTTAGTCAATGTCCACCTCACCTGCCACGTTAGCTTTGAGGACATAAAAAAAATATTTTTTTATTTCTGAATTTTGTTTTCTTGTCATTTGCTAAAAATGGGCCTTTTTCGTTCTTTTAATTAATTTTTTTGATTTATTATTTTTATTAATCGAAAGAAAACAAAATTCAGAAATAAAAAAAATAATTTTTTATGTTCTCAAAGCTGACGTGGCAGGTGAGGTGGACATTTACTAACGGTCAACAGGGGTGACCGTCTAATTTGACGGTCAAACCCGCCTCCGGGCCAAATGAGGAAGTTTGCTACATAGTTCAGGCCAGAATAACAATTTTCAATACAACGGTCAAAGTAAAAAGTATATGTATAGTTCAGGCCAAACTAAGGTATTAACCCAATAAAAAAATATTAAACTGCATTTACACGCGTTTAGAAAGAAAAGAATTAATAATAATGCATGCTGCTGACGGCTGACTATAAAAGTCTTCTCCCGTATTTGTTTGTTTTATGTCACGACCACATATATATATAATGTACCTCCCTCATCAGTCTTTGAAATATATAACCGCATACAAACCAGCAAAAATATAAAAAAAAAATATCCACGCCCAAAGGAAGAGCATAAATGGGGTCAACCTAGAATCCCAAGCTGGCTTATGGCTAGCATGGTGTGAATTAACGAATGGACAGGGATAAATGATACCAAAACATATGGTGATTGTTGGTTTGACTGAATGGTAGTTGTTGGTTTTATAGTGAATGATATAAATTCATAATTGAAACTCTTCTAATTATTCGGGTTATTAAAATAAATGAGTTCTTGACATGGTATTATAATCTTTGATGATTGAGAGGTCTTGTATTTGAATTCTAATGACTCTGTTTGTTTATGAATTCGCTTTTTGATAGAAGTCTAATAAAACAGATGTGTAGTAAGTAGTATATTGTTGCGAATTCCGATTAAAGAGAGATCATAGAGAAAGACAATCTTGATGATGAGATTTCGGAGGACAATGATCCTCAGCTGCCCAATCATCCTCCTCAAAGCGCTGGACTGCTGGAGAAACAAAGTTGGAGGCATGTCTTATGATTTCTATGCCGTTAGATTCACAAACCAGTTGGAGTGTTCAGTGTTGGACTATGAGCAAATGGTCCCCTTTTTCCTTTCTCCTTGGCGCAACATTTCCATTCTTCCAGTTATTCTCCCAGCCTCTGCATCACTAAGCCAATTAGTAATCCATGACCCAAAAAGTCCATCCCATTTAAAAAGCCCAGCTCTGTGTTTAGTTCGGATGGGCTTAGGTAACGGCCCAGACCACTTTGGTTTGAGTGGGTTCTCCGTGTGGGTTAATCTTGGTCCTTGTCCAGTTGTCCCGCAAATTCAATTGGCATTTTTGGCAACACGACTATGCACTTCCAACTTCCAAGTTCCAAGTGTGTGACTCTTCATCCTTCAACAATTCCAGTCCTTGTCTTGATCATTGGCAATGGCGGGTCAACGGTAAAACCCTCCCAACTCGCTCTATATATCTAATATGTATATAACACTAAATATGTGTTTGACTGGATAAGGTAGGTGGCTCTGTGTGTGTGTTTTTTTTTTCCCTATAAAATTTGAATGGATAAAGGGTGGATCAACAACTCGTAAACTCACTTTGACATATTATATTGTATCATCAATTTATATTATGTAATAATACACATTATTTTATTCAAAATATCAACTGTGATTTAATTGATTTTTTTATAAATTTTGTTTGACTTACAATATAAATTATTTGTTGATTGTCTAAAATATATAATAACTATACATAAAAAATGTTTATTGTTCCCAAATAAAATGAATAATGATATTGAAAGAGGTCGTGGACGAGTGATTGTATTGCTGGTTTCAACCTAAACAGGAACAGAGCTAGCTTGTATGAAGGGAGTCATGGCCCCCTTAAACTTGTTAATTTGATCAAAACGTGAATGGTTGAATTTTTTGCTATTTATTATGCCTTCCCAAGACTTTTTTCTCAATTTCTTTCTAATCATTAGTCTTCCCAAATTTTATTTCCTAAATTTTCTTCATCAATCTATTTTAGATTTTTTGAAATCACTTGTTCAATGTTCATTATCCTTTTTCTTGTACGTATTTTTTTGCTATTTATTAGCCTTCCCACATCTTTTTCACTCATTTTTTTGCTAACTATTAGTTTTCCCGAATTTTGTTTCCTTAATTTATCTTAGCGTTTTTGAAATCACTTATTCAATGTTCATTATCCTCTTTCTTGTACGTTAATTTCTTTGAAAATTTATCATGTTTTTGTTTATAAATAGTCAAATTTTGACCATTATATTTTATGGCTAGATTTAATTTAAAATTTTGGAACTATAAAAGAAATTTTATTTTGAATTATCATATTGGTAAGTACAGGAGACTATGAAAGGCATGCGTTTTTTATAAATGATTTCATATGTATATATATTGACTTTTGCAATTTTTTGTAAAATTTTAAGTGTATTTTATTTATTTTTTATAATCATTTAAATGCGATATATATGTTATTGCAAGCGTATTAGGGAAAAAATTGGCCCACCCAAATAAAAAATTCTGGCTCCGTCCCTGAACCTAAATCTCATATTTGAATCTTACGGTTGCCCTCATTTTCCCTTTCTCCCACTCCTCAAGTAGCATCTCTAACAGATTTCGATTTAAAAAAATGATTGATCATAGTTCTTGGTGGGAAAAAAAGAGAGGAAGAAGACTTTCTATCTTGGCTTTTGGTGCTGGCGGAGGCAACGAACTTGGGCTGAACTGCGGTGGGCTGAAGAATAGCAGGCCCAGCTCAACAGTACATACCGACTTCCCCGTGAAT